TGCTAAGGAGAGAGAACAAAAGACGAATAATCAGGAGAACAGTAGATAGCGATTGACATTGCATTTAAGTTTTTGCAGGATTAAATTTGGCTGGAAAGCATGGAGCCGAAAATGAGTTCCACAAGCGAGAAGTGCGATAGGAGAAACTGTTAGCATAGAAATTGAGTCACCTCAACTGTAAATTGATGAGACCTCGTCCCTAGTCTCGTTAAGAGTCTAGGCGCCATAGCGAAGAGCTCACCCGAACAATTACCATGAAAGTATTTTTAGAAATGTCAAAGGGAGGCAACCTTCCGTCGGTGGGAAAGAAACTGAAGCTGAGACACCAGAATAAAGCCAATAATATTGCTGATTCTTCTTAGGATTTTATTAAGGAGCTCTAGATAAATAGCAGATGCATCGGACAATATGAAACAGCAATATTCTAAGTAGGAGCGAATGGTAGACTTATAAAAATGTAAGCTAAATTCTGGAGAGAAAAATCGTCTAGCACAACACAGTGAACCAACTTTCTTAGCAGTATTTATTATCACTACATTTCGGCCAGTACGTTCTTCACCCTTCCTCATAGCTTGAAAGCCTCTAAGAAGTCATTATCATTTTTGCCACTAACTGCTGGGACTACTTTCCGTAACCTTGTTTTTCATTATCCCGTGAGAATAGTAGTTAGAGAAGAAAGTACCTTAGACCCTTGCTGATATACAAATAACGGCAACATGGCGTTTAAAGAGGACAGACGAAACGACAGAAAAAGGGAGAGTTAGGTTCATGCATTTCTCGGTGTGAGTTAATGGGAACTTGACACAAATAGCCTTGATTAGATTTGAATCTGGGTCGCAGACTTATCACTTCTAATTTTTTTACTAGTAGCTCACTCAGTCCAAGCCTAATGCTCACTCAAGTTAGCGGGTTATAGAGAAGGGTAAGAGAGTGTTACGAGGACGCATAGGATAGATATCGGTTGATCCTGGACCAAGGCTTACGGCCACATCACGTTGAAAAATTGGTTCCCGTACGATCACCGAAATCAAACAACGTCAGTAACTGGATGGGTGACCACTTGGGAATACCAGGTGCTGTAAGCTTGGATGTGCGACGATGTAATCATTATTTGAAAAAAAAAAAAAATTCCATGGCTTTAAATAAACTGCAATAGGTTGATAAGCTGTAGAAGACGAATCCATCGATTAAGAAAACCAAGATTGTAGTTGTCAGGGAAGTACTCAGTCGGGAGTCTGTTGCACAATGTGACAGTTGTCTGAGTGAAATTTGTTTTTTCTAAAGGAACATGAAGGGAATCGGAATTGTTTGTCATCGTGAACACGGCGTTGCAGGTCCTAACTGTGACGGTTTGAGGTGGCGGCACTAAAGAATGTAACTCGTCCGAATATTTGCCATAGTAATAGCGACATAGTAGTGAAAGGCTGGCGACATTCCATCTCTGGATTAAGGATTGTAGGGTGAAGAATAATTGATCACCTACAAGTCTTCGTAATCGCTTCTAGACACTGTCCAGGCTGGACAGTGATGCAGCACCAGCCTTGATACAGAAGCAATACTCCAGCGGCGGCTAGGTATTTTCTGGACTGATACAATAAACTGGCATTTCTTCCAGCATCCTTTGCGATGTCACGACTATACACGTTCCATTTGAGGTTGGGAGTGACCTTCAGCCCCAGTAGGCATTCGAGGCAAGGAGCTTTTTTGAGGGTATGGCCACTGATCAGGATTTGTGCAGATTTGAGGTCTGCTCGTTGGTGATGAAATGTTACGAGTTTAATTTTCGATGTATTGAATCATATCAGCCAACTGAACTGTAAGAGTTAGATCAGAAGAGAGATCAGCTGACAGGCACTGATCATTAAGATATTTGGAGGGGAACCCATACACTGTGTTATCATTTGCATATATATTTACTAGGGATTTGAGAGTGTTCTTGGGCATATCGTTGATATAATGCAGAAAGAGGGTAGGGTCGAGGAGAGACCATTTGGGGGATGCCAGAATATTCTTTCTAGCGTTCTTGCATCCTTTCTCACTGCTTTGTGGAATCGACTCCCAAGGGAATGCATCCCTGATCACTATAATCTTAACCTGTTCAAGTCTAGGGTTAACCATTATCTTCCCTTCAAAGGAATGTGCCTCTTACTCTGTAACCTTCTACTTTGAGTGCCTATTGGGCCTTGTACAGGGCGAACATCACTGTAAAAAAAAAAGAAAAAAAAAGAAACGTTAAGTTTTTCAATTGTTTTTTTTTTTCTTGTGTGCGAACAAGAAATTTCTTTTTGGAGGAGTTAGTGTATGTAGAAATGTGCGTTTTGTTGTAAATGATAACCGCTCTGAATGAGAAATTGGAGAACCGAGTTCGAATTCCAGTCGGGTTCGTTACATTCACTTACGCACAAATACCCTTGGGAAAGGCATGAATCCATCTCTTCTTCCCGTCGAATAACAGGACAGACTGTGTCCTATAGCATTGGTTGGCAACCATTCTACCACAGAAAGAAACGGCTACTACTGCAGGAAAATCTTCTGTCTAGTCAGTCATGAATCGAAAGAGACATGATCGCCCTAGCGTGTATCACATATGGCATTTGACTGACTGTATATATTTTCCAAATGACTGTTCCTTCCGTGCGCTTTCGGCTAATCTATTTTCAAGGATTTTGGTTGGGCGATCTCAAATAGAGTGTAAATTGTTGAGAGGTAGAATTCCCGAATACAGTCAGTACATTATGGCCATGTTCGTAGTAGGTACTCTTCAGGTGGGATTTGTTTTTGATGATGAGAGCTTGTTATTTTAGACTTTTTTTTTTTGCAGGCATGTATTACATTTATGTTAACGGTTAACCCTAGACTTGAACAATTCAAGCGTATTGGCCTTGCTCAACTACTAGCCACGCCCGTTTATGCGTTCTCTCCCAGAAACTGTAAGTTTCGCTCAGACATAGGCGCAGCATAAACCAAAAATGGGCTCTCTGAGTGACGAACAAACACAAATGTGGCAGAGCTGGCGTCTGCAACAGGGATTGGCTAGCCGCTCTAGTAGACGGGTGTGTTCGGAAACGAGTAGCCGGTCATTACGTATACAGGCGTTGCTTTTTTTCCTTGGCGTCGTTATCGTCGAAAGCTGCCTTATAAATCAAACAGTTGTTCCACCCTTGGGTACAAACCAAGAAGTAACACTTTCCCTTGTTTGCATGTCGCTACCTGCGAAGGCCGACCCCAACTACGCCAGAGGTCGTTAACTGCGTGACCTCTTCTTTGTGTTCACGTTTCCCTGGCGTTGTATTGTTTCCGGGCAATAAAGAAATTGTCACAAGCTTCTTAATTCCTTTTATTTTTTTTATTTTTCACTTTTCGCTCTTGAGTTTTAAAAAGATCAGACCGACAGGAAAGCAAGTACGAAACATGGCTGATGAGGCGCCAAGTTGCTCTGGAAATTGTAAGAAGAGAAATTGCTTTTATTCGAACTTAGTTTCCTTTTGTTTTAATTAATTTTTATTTAAATAATAATAATCTTTTTTACGTGTCTGAATAATATAGTTGTTTAAAAATGGTTTTTCAAAAATATTGTCATTTTTTATCCGTTCAAATCAAATGATGAAAAGTGGTTCGGAGACGGACAGTTAGAATAGCACAAACATAAAAAGTGTGTGAGTGGTGGTGTTATATCAGATATTAAAGGTGGGGCAAAGGGTAAAACACAATATATTATATTTTAAAGATTCTTTATTATTTATTTCGTATTTAATTCGTTCATAAAATAAACATTTTTTTTTAGATCTGCAGGATATAATACAATTATTTTTTGTTTTTATTTTAAATATACAACAACCAAATTCCGCATAAACCAACTAGAATCATGATACACAAGCACACATGAATTATACACACATACACATAGACGCTACCAGACATGACGAAAACACGTGAGATTTCGTTATTTACCCAAGACCAACCCACAAGGCAGGATGTGGCACAAGGCCGGTTTTAATGTGGGTCTTTCCGATTGCGTCTACTTAATGAAAAACAGATAGCATAAAAATAAAAAAATACTAGAATTTTCTTTTCTCTTTCATATAAAATTTCTGATGAAGCTTAAATAAAAGCGAAACATGTTAAATCTATAAGCGTTTTTGATTTGTTACTTATCTAATCATTGTATTTTATACATGAGAATATATTGTTAACTGAATGACCACCCTGTGTAATTGATTGATTATTTAGTTTATTAAGAGAAGGCATAGAAGAATCATGATGTACGACCTTATTATGAACTCCTATCGAAAAGATCAGATCTCCCCGACTGCACTGAGTTGAACTTTTTTTTTCAACAGATAAGGCTAAAATTATCTAAAAAAGCTTAACAAAGATTCTAATGTACGTTTTAACTATCGTAAATTTTAGTTTTTGCCGAAGTTTTTTAAATGAAGGATTATCATTATGTTGTCCTGTTCGGGTTAGCATCTTTATATTTACAATGTTCTAGGCATTACACTCTTCTTCGATGTTGATTAAAACATATATGTCCCTTCCCCTTGACAACTGCGAGTTCAATCCCTGGGTCTAATAGTGCTGAAAAATCACCTCCAGTGAAAGAAACGGACAAGCGACACAAAGGTGACGAATAAAGGTATGAGTTATCTCCCCTAAGCATAGAACGATCTACTCTTGTGGATTGAATAAAGGGTTCGACTGAAATTCCAAGAAAGTCACCGATTGCGGATACAGACGCCCAAAGAAGACCAGATTAAGATGATGGTTCTATTATTATTATTATTATTTTGTTTTACATATTCTGTATGTTCCAAATGTTATGAAGTTATTTATGAAATACTTTTCGCCATTTTACCTTGACAGTCGCAGAGATCAGCGGAGAAAACCTTGAAGACCTTTTGGCTTACGATGATCTGTTTCTGGATTATTTCAACCAGTTTCTTGTTTCTCCCGTACGTAGAAGCTTCGATCTTGTATCTTCTTAAATTGTTTGCATACAGATGCGTTTCTTTCTTTCTTTCTTTCTTTCTTTCTTTCTTTCTTTCTTTCTTTCTTTCTTTCTTATTCTGTTCATATCTATCTATCTATCTATCTATTTTAAGACATTTTTATGTTTATACATTCTTTTTATAAAAATGTCTTAAAACTTTTTAAAAATGTCTTAAAATAATTGTCGGACTTTGTCCATTTCATAATGTGTGACTATCTATCTATCTATCTATCTATCTATCTATCTATCTATCTCAGTCTGTTTATATATATTTAACTCTTTGTTATTAACGTCTATATCTCCACGGAAAAGTGATAGACGTATAAAACTTTGTAGTTTTTCTAATTATTTTATTCGTATTTGATTTGATTGTCGTATTTAATGCCTTGTCGAGACGCGTGTTGGCACTGGTGCGAAAATCCCCTCTGTTCAGGTTTAAAAGAGAATCTCAAAGACAGATGCAAATAGCAATGAACGAAAGCAAAAGCTAATAAATAAATTGAAAATTATTCTAAAGCATTAATAAATAGAGTTTAGTCATTTAGAGAAAATGTGTAAATAGGTTAGCAAATATAATTTATTAAAGTTTTGTAATAAAATAAACTTAAATGGTATTTTATAAGATAAGCAATGTATTATACCAATGAACTTAATAAGTAAATAAATAGTGATTACAATAAATAAACAAAAATATGTAGGTTAATAAATAAATAATATAATAAAAATAAATGAATAGATAAATAGATGATATTCAGTCCTGTTATTTTTCTTTAAAAAAGAAGCAATCATTTTTCTTGGTGTTAGAGCGATGAAAAAACTTCCGTTTAATGTGACTGTCCGCTTATATATATATATATATATATATATATATATATATATATATATATATATATATATATATATATATATGTGTGTGTGTGTGTGTGTGTGTGTGTGTGTATGCGTGTGTTTGGAACCCCCGTTAAAATTGTAGAAAATTCAATAGAGTTAAGTTAAATCACTAAAGCTCAAAATTGACTCATTTTCATACAAAACATAGGCTCCAGATTTGAATTTCCCCATTCGCATATATTAACCAATCAGCGACATCATTTTAAATGCGCTGAAGGCTTTGAGAATTCAAACTATGTTTGTCGTCTGCTACGGAATTTTAGGATTAGGATTTTTTGATAAAATGATCAACAAATATTCCTTCCTAAAAATAAATATGTAAAAATTGGGAATTGTTTATTAACCAATAAACGTCTGAGTTTTTAGTGAGGTAATTTTTAGATTCTTCGAGCCTATTTATTATTTTTTATAAATATTTGTGGTGTTAAATTAGTATTCAGTATACAATATCACCTTTGACGAATGTTGGTTGTTCGTTTTTGTGTACAAGCTGAATTCTTAAACCTTTCATATAATTTTATAATTTTTACACGGCCTAGCGATTTCAAAGTAAATTAAGCACACTTGAAGCATACAGACGGAGTTTTGTAAATAAAACGTTAGCAGTAGTATAATACAGCTGCCGAATGCTACTGCTATAAAATTACATGCATTCATAAAACAACGTTAATACGTTACACTCTCCTTAAATAGAAACATTCTGTTTTTCTCTCTCTCATTATATATATATATATATATATATATATGTAAAAGTAAAGAAGTTGTTACATTATGTTTGACACACCGAGCCGAAAAAGAAAAAAGACGGATAAAAAGAGAGAAAAAATAACACCAGTAATAAGAGCTTTCAACTAGCGCATAAATTAATTAAATCAAACTTAGTGTAAATACAACGAAACATGATAAAAATAGCAGTCATTTGCTGAAACCGCCTGACGAGCGGACTGAACAATTACAAAAGGGGTTCTTAAATCATCATTAGGTTAAGTAGAAACAATTGATGAGTTTCGTAGAACTAGTGAGTGTTGTGACATAAGCAAAGAGCGTTGTGATGTAAGCAAGGTCGCTTCCTTGGCCTTCTTTTGACTTTGGAACTCTCTCACACACACATATACACACACGTGTATATCATACACGCTTGTCACACACACACTCAAACAAGCACACTCACAACTAGTTGTAATGTGTTTTCCCTCCATTACAATTGTGCACACATGTAATTCCTTTTGTTAATAACATGCATTGTGTTTTGTTTTATATTCGTTGTTTTGCGCTACTTTACCCGGACTCACATGAATTCTCCAATATTGTTTGACGGATAAATGTTCCAGGTGCCCATAAATATTTAATATAAAATATTTATACACAAACATACCAGTATCCCGCAACACATATACGTATGTGTGTGTATGTTTTGTGTAAATCAGTTACGAGTGAGTTTACATCAAGTACCAAATGTTGGTCCTACGTGAAAACCAGTTGCATCTTTTTTTTTTATTTTGCCTCGATCCCCCCCCCACATACTGTCTCGATTAAGAAAAAAATTATCAGTCTGATCTTAATATAATTCTCCCTTGAATGAATCTCTCCGTATTTTGTTTTAATAATTCATACAGGTGTTTCCCTGGCGCATCACCTACAACCGTTTCACAGGGACATTCGAGGAAGTCCCGTCAGAATTTGGTGAACTTTCCCAGTCCTTTCAGACGCTCAAATATGGCGCCACAGACAAAGAGCGAGAAAAAATGCTGGATTGGGCGCGTGAAAGAAGACTAAATCTTTTTCTTGGGTCAGTTACAATTTTATTACTCATTTTTATTCTATGATTCATTCGACCTCACAGTATAGACCCATCAGTCTCCTTGGTGTCATTAGCAAGCTATATGAAGCTATGACGTACAACAAGGTTGTTGTAAAAAATGTCTTTATTTTGTTATCTTAGCCGGTTCAGATTTGTCCATTGTACCTCTATTCTAGTTTGTTCCAGTCATTTAAAAGAAAAAAAAATTAACCTCCGCGCAGCACTGTTGACTGACTCCTCTTCAAAGTATCAGGTCATCTCATAAGTTCTGTCCGAATTTTAACTTTTTGTTAAAATGAACGAAATTTAAAGAGTATTTTATAATGTCTAATGGAGCCTAGAAACTTTTTAACCGACCCTCGTAATTGTGCTGACAGACCTGGGCGATGTGATGTTTTGTTAAAAAAAACAATCCAAACCCGAATGAGACTTTTCCGCTCTACTTACTCGGTCGTTGTCAATGCAACCGCCTTACCGTGCAAATGTTCACTCAACGGATTCTCATTGTTGATTGAATAACCCAATTGGAGATTATCTTTTCATGCATGCGCAGTAAGAGCCTCTCTAATTAATTGCGACGTTGCATCATAACGAAGAAACCGTCTAAATGGTTGGATATTTTCCGAGCAGACCTCATACTTATCGAAAGTTAGTTTTTATTAATCTCTCTGTTTATCTAAATATGTCTTGTGGGCACGTTGAGGTCGAATGGATGCACCACAGCAAATGCTAGCCATGTATCCGCAAACTACAATCAATATTCTTAAATAGCCTTGGCAGATCTAGACTCTCACACGGATGTCACGCATAGCATCTAAATCATTACGAAATGTGTAAAGTATCGGCTATATACAACCTTTTTCTCAGATCAATGATGAAGAAAGATTTCAAGCGAACGAAGGTAATCCTTTATCAAACCCTATAGGCTGGTGTTACATAATCACAGACAAAGTCTTTACCAAATAACAAAATGCAAATCACAAGAAGACTTCCAACAAGCAATAGCAACAATGGATAACACATATTATTAGGAGGGAAAATAATGATATAATCAAGATGTTGACTTTCCAGTCTTTCTTAAACAAGAGCTTTAGAAGTCAACTAGAAGGAGCGATAACAGTTATTGAATTTGAGAAATTTAATTTAGTGAAAAGCTGATAAATTTCTGTCGACAGCAACGGTAAAATGTTCGGTCAATGAATGCCGAATTTTTCCTTATAAGGAAACGGTTCATTTCCCAATTACCATTACCAATCTTGGACTCTTGTATATAGACACACATATATCATGGGTTAAAGTCTAGAGACTTCATAAGTTGAAGACCAGTGCGGACAGGAAGAGATCGCCAATCTGAGTTATTGACAAGAGAGCGGTTTTCAAATTGATAAATCATTTTTTAATTTCTTAAATAAAGCATTGTATATTATTGTTATATACAGTACCTATGAATACTAATGGGTATGTCGCAGTCCTCATAAATAAGTTGGACACTATTGTAAGTGGCGGTAATATGCTGTTTAAGTAGTCCACCACTAGCAGTGGTTTACCAAATTCACTCTACTGGCGAGTATTGTATTTAGTTGATGTTATAAAGATTACCATTTCATTTCTAACCTCCGTTTTGGTTATTCCTCATTCAGTAACCATTCCTAGGTTACAACAATTATGACTAAAGTATGACATCTTAATTTCTGTTGCTTTTTACTGAAACTTTCAGACCGTCATTCTAAGGTAGTTTGTAAGGCATCTCCTTCTCCTCCTCCTCCTTCTTCTTCTTCTATGTGCCGTGTCTTTAAATTTGATGTTCTTTGCAGCTCCTAATAACTATTGTCTTTTTGCTATCTCTCCCAAACCCTGTTCTACCAACCATTTACTCAAGCTCGCCAGGTAGGTTACGCGTTGCTTCCTTCTGTCTTTCAACTGCATCTCCTTGATGTTAAGTATAAGTGCCCTTTTTGATCGGAAAATGATGGCGACATCTATAATTAGAAATGAATGAATATAATTTTAAGATATCCGTGGTCTAATCGGTAAAAAAGCTGTCGTGTTAAAATAAGTTTATTTTTTATTCTCGATCTGCGTTGCTTACTGTGTAAGTTACTTGTGTAGATTTTACCAGTAACTGACTTTGTAATTATAAAAAAAATGTCATACAACATCATTATATTTTTTAATTTTTAAAGTAAAAATTTCAGTAATTTTAAAGCAAAAGATAAAATTTCAGTAACTACAGTGTATTTGATTTCATTTTCAGTCTTTCTCCAAGCTCCTCTTACAACCAAAAAGTTTAGATATAGTTTTGTCTGCCCACAATGCATTTTGCTAAATTAGGAATATTTTGCATGAGAAACATTATATTTTGTTTTCACCATTAACATCTCTGAGGACGTTCTGAGATTTTCAAAAGGGCTAGAGATTGATTCACGTAAAAAATATCATAAAAAAAGAACAATATTAATCGATTTTGAAAAGACATGCTGTACCATATGGTTTACGTATAATTGGCAAAACATCCCCTTTCAACAAGACAACGATCTAAAACACACTTCTAGATTATATCAAAATTACCGCAAGTCAAAAGGAACAAAATTCTGGAAATTAAAACTTGGCCGCCTCAATCTCCTGACCTCTCCCCCATTAAATTAGTATGGAATGAATTGGATAGGAGATTTCAAAGAGAATACCTAAAGAGTGAGAGTGAACTTTTTTAATGTTTGAAGAATACTTAGCAATGTCTATCATGTACTTTTTTTAAAAAAAACTGTTGAAAAGAATGCCAAGAATTTACAAAGCAATAATTAAGGCAGGTGGTAATTTTATTAACGAAAACAAAATATGACGCTGTTGTATGATATTTCTAAGTGCTTATATTTTGTTTAAAAAAGCAAATACACTGTAGTTACTGAAACTTTTTTTTACTTAAGAAAATATAAAAATATCTCATAATGTTTTTAAAAGAAGGGTGTCCCCATTCCTTTCGCCTGTAGTATATATATATATATATATATATATATATATATATATATATATATATATATATATATATATATATTAAAAGAATGGAAACAAAAGAAACGTATAGTAATATAGGCTTGCTGGCTGGATATCAAGAGGCAACAGACGAATCGGTGAAAGCCAGGTAGGGATGAAAAGGTGTCAAAATTGTGATGAATTAAAGACTGAAAGTGATAACGGATAGAAAAAGAATATACAGACAAAGGGGAGAAAAGACATTCCATGGATTCAAATTAAAAGTTAAGAAAAGAAAGGTTTATGCAGACCACTGGTAAATTCATGTCAAGCTGACGGCGCTCCATTGTCTTTTTTCTTCATAGGTCTCAACTGTTTAGGGAGCTGAAACTATGTAAGCAATTACTGCGTCCGATTGATGACCAACGAACGGCCGGAAGCCAGGAGTCGAGTCAGATGATAAGAGGCTACAGCAGACAAACGGACAGCTGTGTTTCAAGCCTCAGCAACGGAATCAGTAACCCCCTAGATCCAGACGCTGAAGCTTTCTTGCATACCAACCTTCCGTTTTCAGCTCCCATGCCACGTCAGATATTTTATTCCCAAAATTCCTCGGTTCCGAGTAAGTAAATTCTTTTGCCTATATAATTTTACTACTTATATTGAGTTAATCAAAGTGGATTAGTTTTTATCAATGGCGATAAAAATGTAAATGTCGTCGTAATTTTTTTTAATTAATGGCTATAAATGAGTAAATGCCGACGTGTATGGTATAAAAAAGGTCTTACTCGTAATTTGTTTATTATATAAGAAACGGTAGCCTCCAGGGAGAACACGTTTGTTTGCTGCTCTTTTTATGGAGCTAACTGTATTCGTTGTATCATATTATCCAAGAATTTATTTGGTCGATTCAACATTTTATATGCTGTTAAATTTCGTACCAGTATGCAAATATGTTTGTTTTTCCTAATCTTAGGTAGAAACGGATATTGCTCGTGTTCTAATCCAGGAGATCTCGAACCAAAGTACGCGAAATTATTTTTAATAATGTTCACGCAATTTAAGTCCTAAGAGCCACTCAAGGTAGAGAGTTAATGTGTGTTGTATGAGCAAAAGGAAGAGCGAGAATTGAAGTTATTGGGGCTGTGTAGGAAAGACAATAGCTAACTCTAGAATTGAAGAGGTCAAGATTTAATTAACGAATAACATTTCAGAGCTCAGTCAGAGACATTAGAAGTATAGTGAGGAAGTAGACTTTAGAAGGAACCGGAAACCCAACCTTAAACAGGAAACAAGGGATAAATCTCTACTCCTTTTCAAAAGACCAGGGATCAAGTCATACGCACTCACGGCACTTTATTCCTTTTTTTATGACGAGAAGTTCGCGAATTTTCTGTCCTTTTTGCTGATAAAAAGTGACAGTTCGCTTTCCGTATCGCCCGTCTCCTCACTCCCCTCACGCCCAACCTCAAATGTTCACTCTATTTGACTTTCAATACTACAGGGTACCCAGTAAACATGCAACAGTAAAAAAGTATCGGACTGGTGCTAAAAAAAAGAAAACAATATCATATATCAATTCGGTATTTAATCTCCTTCGAAGTAATCCCCTTCTGAAGTCACACAATGTATCCAGTGTCGTTTCTGTTGATAGAAGCATCCTTGGAGCTCCTTTTGCGTGATAGCGAGCAGCTGTCTCGTCATCTTGAAATCATGTTCCTTTCGAGTTTGATTTGATTTTTGAAAAGAGGAAAAAATCCCAACGGGCGATATTTCGGGAATAATTTGATTGTCGGGCCTAGGGAATATTGTGCTTGGCCAAGCAGCACAAGTTGCGCCGAATGGGCATGTGCGTTGTCATGGTGGCATTGTCACTCACCGGACGCAATCATTTCCTTTGCCAACGAACAGCATCCACACGTCACGGTAGTACTCCTTGTTTCCTGTCTGACCATATAGAGCATATTCATGGTGAACAATATTAGTCGAAGAAAACTGTCAACAGTGTATTCGCAATGCTTCGATTGATTCGTGCCTTTTTTCGGTCACCGATTCGTCACCTGTTATGGCCGTTTTCAAAAAGATTTCTGTGGGGTGGCGAGACGACCACACTCTACACACTTTCATTACAAGCATTGTTGTGAAGAACGGACGTGAGCGATAATGTTATAACTAAGTGTGCGCGCGTGAACTTGTTCAAGGTCAATCTACGCTAAGCGGCTTCATTCTGAATACTTTAGCTCCGTTACCAAAGCAACAGTCTCGATACTTTTTTTTATATGAGACTATAGGTAAATATTGGTTGTATTTATACTTAAGGCTATAGGGAAACATTTATCGTGTTTATACTTGCATCTATATTTAATCATTGCTTGTTTTACTTGAATCTATAGGTAAATGTCGGTCATGTAAACGTTGCCTGTATTTATGCATAAGACTATAGGCAAATATTAGTTTTGTCCATATTTGAATATATAGGTAAGCATTAATTGCATTTATACTTGAATCTATAGGTCAGTGATTCATAACTGCCGTGCTGCAAAATATTGCCACGGCATACAGATATGTGTGTATGTGTGGAAGTTTTAATGTTACAGCGTTTGTATTTTACTAAATAACTTCACAAATATTCGACGCTACCCATTGATACATATTGGATTTCACTACAAAATGAATATCCCGTATTTGTGAAAAAGGCTTTATCAGTTTTATTGAAAATCACAAAAAAACAAAAAACAAAGCAAACACCAGGCATAGGTTTTACACTAAATAAGCAACACAGATACTTGAATAGAAACAATGAAATGAAGTAAGTTAATATTTGTGCGTGTAATTTTTAATTTATGATTTTATTTCATAACATTTAAATGTATACCATTTAAAAACTTTGCTAAGTCTGCCGAGATGTTTTCATTTGCTCCTAGTTGCTTAAAAAGGTTGAGAAACACTGCTTATATGTAAACATTTTTTGTATTCATATGTCTGTTTATAGGTAAACATTGGTAGTATTCATAATCTTACTTATTATAAAACGCAGATTGTGTGTGTGTGTGTGTGTGTCTGTACGTTTATATATTGGATCGGATTTCCTACATTTTTCAACCGATTTCAACAAAACTTCACAGGACTGCGTAAAATTACCTTGCGGTGGTTCTGACAGCGCCAAAAATTGGAAAAACACAATTGTTTTTGCACGAAATCAATTTGAAAACACGATTAAGAGGCATCGCTGTCGCCAGAATGAAAGGGGGACAACTCATATCGAGTTATACTTATTATAAAACCCAGGTTGTGTGTGTGTGTGTGTGTGTGTGTGTGTGTGTGTGTGTTCGTTTATATATGGGATCGGATTTCCTACATTTTTCAACCGATTTCAACAAAACTTCACTTTTTGGGGGCAGGTAGTGTTTCATATTGTCTTACACATTTTTTTCTTTATTTTTACATTCAGAATGCTTTAAAAATTCCATTTACAAGACAATTGTTTATAATAAAATTCTATTCACTCGGTAGACTCATAACGATTGAAAACAATGTTTTTGTTTGAGTTTGAGTTTGACCAATTCGTAAAAAAAAACCAAAAAAAAAAAAACCAAAAAAACTAATTAAGACATGCGTGTCCGTCAACCTTAAACAATAATCTTTGTCAATTTTATTTTTCAGTCTTTATGATGGTCGATACTTGATCTATCTCTTACTGTTACATCCCCAGGCAACGCCGGGCTCTACTGCTAGTTATGTATATAGGTAAACACGAGTTGTGTCTGTATATACGAGTTGTATTTGAATTTTAATCTATCGGTAAATATTGGTCGTCCTAATATTTGTATCTGTAGGCAACCATTAGCCGATTTTATGCGATGTTCATAGGTAAACGTTGAAAATCTATACTTGTGTCTATAAGTAGAGTGTTCGTCCTTATCCGCGAACATAAGTATCTATCCAGTCGTCGGTACCCGCTCGCATACAAGCATCGGGAGTTTTCATTCTCTCGCCTTTGGTGGAGATGACTTGTGAAGGCCCAGCCTACTTCTGAAGAGTCTTGAGCGGGAATCACAGAGGAGTGTGGGTGTTGGGCGCAGCTGGGTCCCTCTTAACAACACGTCGCAGATCCTCTTCATGTTTAAGGTTGGACTCGACAGTCTCGATGGATTGTCCTAGGCCACGAAGGTCGATTTGCAGCAACGGTTGGTTTCCCAGTTCTCAGGTCCAATGTTGGCCTGTTTCAGGGAATGTCTTCAACTGATCATTGAAGCATTGTTTTTGGGCCTCCGCGTAGCCTCTTGCTGCTGGCGAGTTCTCCAAACAGGATGATACGTAGGAGTCAAGTGGAGCGTATTCTGGACACGTGACCCGTCCAGCGGAGGCGATGTTGAAGGATAGTAGCTTCGATGCTGGGGAGAGATATCCGATAGAGGACCTCATAGTTGGTGATGCGGTCCTCCCAACTGGTGCGAAGGATTCTTCGGAGTTTCATTTGTTGGAATTTCTCCAGACATTTTATTCCCGACTATACAAAGTCCAGGTCGCGCAAGCGTGCAGAAAGGTGGAGAGAACCATGTCTCGGAAAACCGTGATTTTGTTTTTTATGGTGAGGCCGTGATTTCTAAAAATGTGAGCCGCTTTGATCCTGATGTGAAAGTCTCTCTCGTAGGTGACATTATTCGAGATGATGCTGACAAGGTAGGTAAATTCATCGATGACTTCTACCGGCTGTTCGTCGATGTTGATGCTGACGTCCGGTGTTGCTTGTTAAGAGCCCGGCTGGATGAGGATCTTTGTCTTTTTTTAAATTGATTTGCTCCCGGAGCATTTGTAGGCCTCATTATACAGGTTTGCTGATCTCTGGAGGTTAATGACCATTTTTGGTAGTGGGTATAATCATATAATCAACCTCTCTGAAGATGATGCAGCCGGACTATTCTACGACTCGTCGACAGATCAGTAACCGTTAAGTTCGATTCCGTTGATGTGGTTACGATTGAAAGGCCATTCAATAAACCACTCATATTCTCTGGAATCATATCCGTCTTTTCTTTCTGTGTGTCCTTTCAGGATGTAGGCGATCATGGCTTTCCACCTCCCTCTATCCCTTGCAGCTCTCAACAAGTTCCTTCCATCTGCCAAGACCACGTTCTGTCATCCACTTGCTTACGGTTACTAGGGATGTTATGCATTGTTTTCCCTTGTCTCTCTTTCTATCTATTCGACCTGTGAGTATCAGATTCTTCAGGCCCTCCTTCCTCATTATGTGTCACAAGAACTTCAGCTGCCTCTTCATGATGTTAAGTATAAGCCTCCCCCTTGTTTGCATCCTCTTTTAGACCTCATCGTTGCTCACACGCCCGGTCCATGATATCCTTAGCATCCTTCTCTAGAACCACATCTCCGTCGCCTGGAGTCTTTTCTTCATTTTTGAGGAAAGAGTCCAACATTTGTTGCCGTAAAGAAGGACAGATGTTATGTAACAGCTCAGTATTCTTTTCTTTGTTACCAAATGAAATCCTCTTGTCTCGCAATACTCTACCCAGCTTTTGGAATGCGTCCTTGGCCATCCCAATACGTCTCCGTTTACCTGTCTGTATTCGCTTTAGAAATGTATTTTTTTTATAGCACCTGAAAAAATAAAAACAGTGAGACGAAAGGGGGTTACTGAATGTGAGAGAATATGAGAAAAAGAAAACATTATTTAGGAGAGAGAACAATAAAAGAACATGGATTAAGAAGGCAGAACGATTGACATTGCATTTAGATTTTTCAAGATCATAGTTGTCTGGAAAGCAAGAATCCAGAAGAGAGGTCTGCAAGCGAGAAGTGCGAGAGAAGAAACTGTTAGCATAGAACTTGCGGTTACATCTAGTCATTTCAAGTGTAAAATGACGAGACCTCACCGTCAAGTCTGTATTAAGCTCAAATTCGTGGTAACAAAGAGGAAAGCTTATCAGAAGAATTATCTTGAAAGTATATATAGAAAAGGCACATGGAAGCTACATTACGTCAGTGGGAAGGTGACTAAAACCGAGATGCCAGGTCAGGGCCGATAACATTGCAGTTTCTTTGGTTTTTATCAATAATCTCTAAATACATAGCAGAAGCATCAGACCAAATGTGACAACAATATTTAACGCATGGACGAATAAATAAGGTTATAAATGTTTAAGATAGATTCTGACAAGAAAAATTGTCTAACATGACACAGTGAACCAACCTTCCTAGCAGCAGACTTAGCAATTGATTCAATATAATCTTTCAGCTTAATGTCAGCAGAAAACGTTAGCCCGTGAAGTCGCAGTGGTTCACTCTCCTTGGGGTAAGCATCAGTTGAATAACAAAATACAACAGTTGGGTTTTTGTTTCATATGTAATCGGAACAGTACACTGAAAATCTTCGAATTTAACTAATATCTACACCATTTCAAAGAGCACCTTTTTAAAACTTGTTAAACAAATTTTCATTATCACAGAAAAAGACATTGGCCTCTTTCATAGGTTCAGTGGTCTTGTGAGTTCTAAATATTTTCTCTCTCTGACCTTTGACTTTAGATGAAAGCGACTTTGAACTTGACCTTAATTAAAACTAACGTTGGACATAACATGCAATTATAAGAAAATTTTACCTCACTTTCAGACTCTGCTGAAAAGTAGAAGAATATATCAATCGAAATGGAGTGTTAAGAAAGATGAAGTCCGAAAAATGTGTGGAATATTGTATACAGTTTTCGTACTGTTAACTAATTTTCTTTGTTCTATTGTCTTAAATGTTATTATAAAACGTTTTAGGGCGATTATATGATCTGGATTGTCCTTTAAAATATCTCAAGATTTCAGATCCTACTAAGAAAGCCGATGTGTGTATATTGACCAAAAAAATAAAAACAACAAAGATGAGAATAATAGTCCGAAAAAATGTGTGCTGTAAGGAAAATACTTAAATTTGGAATTTCCAAAACATCGCTAGGGTTCATTGTTCTTATGCCTTATGTCATGCGTTTCTTAGCGACTATTCATTTCTCAACTTGCAAATAACCCTCTACATTTTCTTTTATCTCTACTTTTCTAAATGTACAATCTTTGAGAAAGATGAAGCAGAAATTTCGGCGGTGCACATTAGAGACAACAGATCCACAGTCAAAATTCCATTGTTCCAAACAAAGCTAATACAAAAAAAAAATCAATAATTACACACACACACGTCCACGCGCACACACACACATATGTATATATATATATTATCTTTGACCTTCTCTTATTCCCACTTTCTCATTTTTCACTTTCCCGTTCTCTCAATGTTTCATTTGCTTTCCATCTTCCTGACTCTCCCTACTCTCTTATTGCCTTTCTATCTCAGTGTTCGCCCATTCGTATTTCTTTTGTACGTTGAATCAACGGCAACCATTGTTCTTGGCTTCTATAGATAATGAATATCAATAAGAAATACATGACATCACCACCGTCTCTAAGAATTTAATAACAACAGTATTGTCTCTGACACTGTGATAGAATACAAGGGTCGTGGCTCATCTGAAAGTGACGTCTGCTTTTATTTCGTAGATTATCCAGACAAGGATTGTTTCTCTGGACTTTCTTGGTGTTTATTCAAGCATGTCATATTGTTCTAATTTGCCGTTTCGATTATATTTCCATTTAATAATTTCAGAAAGGAATGAGGAGGTCGGGGAGCGCCATAGACAAATGAAATAACAAAAATAAGGATAGTAGTCCGAATACTTTGCAGAAAATAACAATGTAGGAAATTCCGATTAATAAGGACACCGAAGGAATAATACAATTTGGTCCAGTTAGGTGGCTGCCCCGGTTAGGCAAAATTAGCCAAAGTATAAATTGTGGATACAGTGTAACCCGGATATAAGAGAGTTGTCGGGACCGGAGAAGAAGTCTCTTATCTCCGGGTTTCTCTTATATCCGGGTTTGGTCTATTTTGTATACATAAACACAGGCTCTAATTTGGAACCAGAGGAAATCTCTCTTATATCCGGGTCTCTTATATCCGGGTTACACTGTATTACCAAATACATGTCCACTGCCGATTTTCTGGGACATATGATTCCATAAATGTTCCGGATTATCTGTGTTACCGGACCAACAGATGTCATGTCAGAACAATTCAATAATAGACTTCTCACGAACTAATTAGGAATTTCTTGTATCTCCACAGGACCATCGACTGTCAGAAACAGATTAAATTATTATTAGAATACAACACCGCATGTGGCCACATGACTGGTTGGTTGGTTGATTTTGTTTAGCGGCACATTAATGGGTTATTTAATGCCGGAATCTAAATATTTTGAACACAATTTTATGGCGTCAACTAAATATATTTTGTCCGCAATTATATACCTTCAAAGACTGATAGAATGTATTGTTGGTCATTTTACTATAAATATGTATTGTTGGTCATTTTTTAAAATATAAAATGTATTGCTGGTATTTTTACTATAAAATGTATTTTTTATACTTTCATAGTATTTTATTTTTGTTTGGGGATTCACTATTTGCTCATAACAACCACCCCTGGTTAATATGGACATGGGAAGAACAGCAATTAAAAGGTGGTTCCGCGCTCCTCAAAATCTATCGACTAGAGTCCTTGCTGCTGAATGTAGTTTATCGTCATACCCAAGACTAGTGGCCACGTGGTGAATTAGTCTGTCAATTACATGTTCGTAATTTTGGCCGGATTAAAAGAGTCACGGTATACTCAGTGCTGCATCCGTATTCGCACAGTTATTGCATTAAACAAAAAGCTACTGCAATCCTGTGCAGTTATCTAGGGAAAGTAACTGACTGCCTTCATTACCTTCTTGCACAGAATAATGTAATTTACAGTAAAACCTCGATTTAAAGAACTAATTTGTAAGAAAGTGTCTTTCTTAAATCCGATAAATACTTCATTACCTAAAGAAGAATGTTGGTTGATTGATTGGGATGGCGGCATATCAACCTCTGGGTTATTTAATGCCGAAAGCTAAATATTTATTACGTAATTTTATGATTTCAACTACCGATATTTTGCACATAAATTTAGACTTTTAAAGTAAAAGTATGTTTTATAGATATATAGTTTGCAGATCATAAAATATATTGTTGGTAATTTTAATATAAAAATGTATTTTTGTATTTTTTAGTTTAGCATTGATTTCCATCTTTCTATAAAAATGTATTGTTCATTTTATAAAAAACTAGCAGTAGAGCCCGGCGTTGCCCAGGGATGTAACAGTAAGATATAGATCAAGTATCGACCATCATAAAGACTGAAAAATAAAATTGACAAAGATTATTGTTTAAGGTTGACAGACACGCATGTCTTAATTATTTTTATTTTTTTTTTACGAATTGGTCAAACCCAAACTCAAATAAAAACATTGTTATCAATCGTTATGAGTCTACCGATTGAATAGAATTTTATTATAAACAATTGTCTTGTAAATGGAATTTTTAAAGCATTCTGAATGTAAAAATAAAGAAAAAAGTGTGCAAGACAATAAGAAACACTACCTGCCAAAAAAAAGTGAAGTTTTGTTGAAATCGGTTGAAAAATGTAGGAAATCCGATCCCATATATAAACGAACACACACACACTCACAAACAACCTGGGTTTTATAATAAGCATAACTCGATATGAGTTGTCCCCCTTTCATTCTCGCGATGCCTCTTAATCG